TGCAACAAGTCGATTGGAAGGTCGCGTCGTGGGACGGACTTATGCAGTGGATCAAAAACCCAATGCAGAACAGATTTGCTTGCTTGCTTTTGCCTGTCGCCGTGTTAAGAGCACTCCAACTTGTGCTCACACGCTTACCATCAAAGCGATCGGTCATCTAAAACTCAAACACTTCAGAGAAACGCGATCTTCAAAGAACTTAACGTCTTGCAAACTCAGACTGTAGCAAAACTGCTCAAGCTTCTGGCGTCATCAAGAGACCAACCAATCCAACGAGGGGTCTCCCCAAAAGGACGTCATCCAAACGTCACCTCAGCGACCAATCCGAAAGCTCCGGGGTTCCCTCAGCAGCCATCCAGGAAGCCCGTGTCAGCAACGACATCATCTCAGCTTTTCAGCTGTCAACCAAGCAGAACGCAAGTAAACGAACAAAATCTTATCTCTGCTGAACTGGTGTAGAGCTACTTTAAGCAGTAAACATAAGCTAAAATTCTCTGCTTTGTGAGTTCTCTCAGGTGAATTTAAATCACTCGTGAAAACGAGTTAGAATTTTGAAACTTCATGCAACTCCGTCAACTCTCATTCTAAAGAAACTGTATGTTTGTGTGTATGTGTGTTTTAGCTTAGTTTTGATGTAATCTAGAATAGCCAATAAAATTCATGTTTCATTTATAACGAATCATTGTTTGGTGTCATATAATTTCAAGGTTAAACCCTTTTGCCAAAGATTACGTTACCTCTCTAAGAGCTTACGAATTATTATAATCGTATTAACCCGTGGCCAGGGGGAATACAGATATTCAAATTGTTAAAATATACTAAGAATCACCGGCTCGCTGGACGACCCTTGATTTAAAGTGTAAACTATCAGATTTTAATTCAGCTTTAATCAGGTTGACTCAGAATTTTCAGATTCGATTCCTTTTAAAACCTGAATGAATTAATAATAATTAATTCCCTTAAAATTAAGTAATCAAAGTCATTACAACATAAACCTGTACTCGCTCTCATATGCACGCACGCACTGCAAAAATCCAAAATTGGACATTTTTCGGAACAGGGTCCGTCAGGATCCGGCTCAAATTAAGCACTGGCTTGTAAAACTTCCATTCAAACATAGAAGCTCAAGGTTAGAATTTGACTCTGCTCCCCTCGTTCTGCTCTACCTCTTCATCTGCTCTCCCTATTTTCCTCCTTCACTTTTAACTCCTTTTTCCGCCAACTACCTTATCACATTCTGATTCAATTAGCCACTATGCTCAGGTTCAATTTTCTTCTGGAAGATTTTATCACACATTTCCAGTCGCCAACATGGAAAAAGTTCAAATAACTTTAATTGAAAAGCCTTTTAATTGAGGGATCTTTCCATCCATCCATCTCTTCCCTCCAGCTACTGATACTTCTCTGTTCGAATGAGAAGGATTAAAAGTGATAATGAGATAGGATGGAGGGAAGTCCAATTTGGCGATCTCTGCACACGTGCCTCCAACATGCAAATTGAGAACCTGCATAAGTAATATATTCAAATGTATGCGTATGTGTATTTTTCCAAGAGAAACAATGGAACTTGTTGCAAGTTGAATGTGTGTGTATGTGTGTAAGATGATGACTGAATTATCTGACTGAGAATCACATTTACAAGCCATTAAGTTAATGAGGCCATAGCTCCACACAGATTTAGAGGTTACGCAAATGTTGTCCTGCTGTTGTTACGATGTTAGTAAGCTTAACAAAACATTGGCAGAACACTGTAAAACATTTGTGGCTGTGCTGATTGGAGAATAGCTTAATTAGGATCGTTGGCACACTTCCTGTAAAGGCCCCAAATGAGCAATGTAATGACACACACACACAATCTACAGCTAATTATAGACACTTTCAGGGGTAATGCCGTCTTGAGGTAAGGATTTGTGTGTGTGTGTGTGTGTGTGTCGCCCATTAGCCTGTGAGAAATGCCAGTTGTGATGAAAATTTGACTGTGAGTACCAGACGGCGTGTATTTAAATGCAAAACAGGAAAACATAAAACTTTCCATTTAAATAGTATGTTAGTTATGGTCTACACTGCCCTTCAAAAATTTGGGGTCAGCAAGATTTTTTATTTTTTTTTCATATAAAAGTAATTAAATGAATACTTGTTTTACATTCAGCAAGGATGCATTAAATTGAAGTGACAATAAAGACATTTATAATGTTACAAAAATATCTATTTTAAATAAAAACTAAATTCACTTTTTATTAATCAAAGAATGCTAAAAAAAAAAAAAAAGCTTAACAGTTTCCATACAAATATTAAGCGGCACAACTGTTTTCAACATTGCTAATGATATGAAATGTTTTTAAGCACCAAATCAGCATATTAGAATTATTACTAAAGGTTCATTTTATAAAGTAGATTGGAACAATGGCTGTGGAAAATTCAGCTTTGCCATCACAGGAATAAATTACATTTTAAAATATATTTAAAAAAAGAAAATGGTTATTTGAAATTGTAATAATGTTTCACAATATTACTGTTTTTACTGTATGTAGTGTACATCTTCTCATTATCTGCATTCAATATAAGTTTTACACATTTTCATGCATATTTGATAACACAACTTCATCTCCTTTTGCATCAAAAAGCCGCCAGCTATTAGATTGAATAATCAATGTCATATTAGATGATTGATTTTATAATCTTAATTGTGTATTGTATAATCATGGTGAAGTGCATACTTTGATGCTTGAAACAAAGGGCTGCTGTATGAAATGCAGTATTTTTATCTTTATTTTTTTTATTATTATTTTTTTTTTATTTATTTTTTTATTGTGTGGTAAGCTCTGCTGTGACATTTCCCTTTTGGATTAATGAAGTCAATCAAACCAAATCAATGCTGGTTGAAAGAAGTCTCTTACGTTCACCAAGGCTGCATAAATTTGATCAAAAATACTGTAAAAACTGGAATATTGCGAAATAATATTGCAATTTTAAATATTTATTCAATATTAACACACTTTAAAATGTAACTTATTTCTGTGATGGCAAAGCTGAATTTTTAGCATCGATTACTCTAGTCTTCAGTGTCACAAGTGTCACAATCCTTCAGAAATCATTGTAATATGCTGCTTAACATTTGTGGAAACAGTGATACATTTTTTCTGGGATCTTTAATGAACAGAAAGATCTAAAGAACAGAATTTTTTTTTTGGCGTTTTTGCCAGGACAGTAGAGATATGACAGGAAGTGAGTGGGGGAGAGAGATGGGGGGTTGGGAACGGGAAAGGTGCACTAGGCGGGATTCGATCTCGGGACAGCCGAAGTGCAACTGCGCCATATGTCGGCGTGCTGCCCACAAGGCTATCGGTGCCGACAAGAACAGAATTTATTTGAAACAGAAATACTTTGTAACATTATAAATGTTGCTACTTATATTTTTGATAAATTTACTGTGTCCTTGCTGAATAAAAGTATTACTTTCTTTCAAAAAATAAAAACTAAATAAATAAAAATCTTACTGAAACACTGAACATTGGAAAGGTAGTGTATATGTGGTGGCACGCATTTCGCGGGATATTGCAAAGTACGGCGGCCTGTACACATCATGATGAAGTGACAGTTTCTTTAGCACACACACACCTGAGAGCTTGTTGTGGTAGAGAAACTCCATCTGCAGCCTCTGGCCTGCTTTCTGAGCCAGTAGATATGGGGTGGAGTACTGAGGGTCACCGGTTGCACACATCACATCCGCCCCGCTGAAAACCAGGGCCATGGTTTGCAGGATGTCAGGGAGAACTACTGTTGCACACAGCGCCTTTGGACACACACACACACATGCAACAAAACACGTTGTATGAACACGACTGAGCATCAGTGATGGGAAGAGCACAGCAGCACGCAAAGACTACACTGAAACTGACAGCACATGATGAATTAACTAACAATATTGTCAAAGTACCACTCCTTTTGCGGCTAATATGAAAAACAAACATTTGTTGCATGCAGCTTTACTTGGTATCTTGGTACAGAATAACATTGACATTGACATTGACAGGAAGCGAGGCATCCAAAGAAAGAATGCAGTCAGTCCAATTAAAAAGAGAGGGAGGGGGAAAGAGTCAATAAATACAATAGTGTGTGTCTCTGAGAGAGCGAGAGAGAGAGTGTTGGCGGGAGTAATTCAGTCGAACACTGCTTTCATCTAAAACAGTCCGATCCAGCCAAGCTATCGATCCCCCTCAACCAAGCTAGAGCCGCTGGAGAACAAGGACACTGAAACAGTAAACCACACACATACACATATATGTACAGAAGAATCAAAACATCTCAGACTACTAGTGAAAAGTATTATATAATTTCAAATTATTTTCTTATTTTTCGTAAAGACTACACTAAGGTTAGAGTAAGTACGATTATTTTTAAGAAATCACTTTTATTAAGCAAGGATGCATTAAAATGATCTTTTAAACTGTTACAAAAAAAAAATTTAAATAAATGCTGTTCTTTTGAATGATTCATTGAAGAATCCTGAAAATCATGTATCATCGTTACTACAAAAATATTATGCAGCACAACAACAGTGTTTCAACACTGATAATAATAAGACTGTTTCTTGAGCACCAACTCAGTATATTATAATGATTTCTGAAGGATCACGTGACACTGAAGACTGGAGTAATGACTGCTGTTTCTTTCTTTTGCTTTGTCTCTTTTTAAATGATACCAACACATGACCTGCTTTAACTCCACAAGTTTTGTGTCATCCTGATGATCATGTTCTCCAGCATGATATGAGATGTATGCACAGTGACAGTTACTTACTTGATGACAATAATGACAATACTAAATTTAATTTAGACAAATAATAAAGATAATTTAATATTTTCTATTCATAACTTTTAGCCTATTTGCTGTGCATTTGTTGTACCAGATTAAAAAGAATAAAACACCAGTTCCCTTTCGCTTTCCCTTTCCCATTTGGTGTCTAGGTGACCTTATAATGTTGTTCCAATGACATAAAACCCAAGGACATCCCTTAGCGTGTGTGTACATGTTCTCTAGGTCACCTTTTCTGAAGAGACTTTCTGGAGGTCACTTATTTTAATTGGAGCTGTTGACTATAATCCAGATAAACACACACATATATACTCTACAAATACAACATAATGATAAATTGTGCCACTGATGGCAGAGACTGAAATAAAATTCAGCAGCCATCATTCTAGTCCTCAGTGTATGCTGAAAATATGCTGATTTGGTGTGCTTAATATTTTTGTGGAAACCGGCATATTTTTTACAGCACTTTGATGAACAGAAAGTTCAAAAGAACAGCCTTTATTAAATAGATTTTTTGTAACATTCTAAATGTCTTTACTGTCACTTCTTGATTAAATGTATGTGCGTGTGTGATGCCATTAAGATGCCTTCTTTTATATAAAATGCCATTAAGATCTATCGTGGTGGGGACTTCTATCACACTGAGCAAATTATAATTCTCATCTGCTAAATCTGACCTTCACACAAACCTTTCTGCATTTTAACATATTCATTTTCACATTAATTTGTATGCTTATTAACTAGTTCTACTTTGGCTGGTCCCAACAATGTAAGCACTTTCAGGTTTTTACTTTTTTCAAAAAAAGAGCAACTTCTGAATTGTTGTCATATCTCATAAACCCAAAACCACTGCCTACCAGGATGACTACTGCTCGAAACTTCAGGCTGAACGAAAGTATCAGACAGGAACTAAAATGAAAACTTAAAGACATATATCACATCAGGGCTTAAACAAAAACTTTGAGAACAGGGAGGATTTTTCTGGAACATTTTGTTTGTGTCTGTCCCAGACGTACCCTTCCATTTATAATCTAATCTCACCTCTGTATGTATCTGCACTATATTCATTATCTTCCTCTCACTCTCTTTGTCTCTCTCTCTGACACACACGCACACAATCATATAACTTTTTAAGAAGAACCCCTGAAAACTCCCCAGTGCTGCTCTCATCTCACACACACGTAATCCACAGTTCCAATCCTCTCGCTCCCTCTCTTTTGCCACCCCTCTCCAGAAGACAAAAGCAGGCTTGATCTGTGTTAGTGCTGACGGTAAGGAAAAATAGCATCTTTTAGCTTAGGAAAGAGTAATGCGGGCAAACTCAGTAGGAACAATCAAAACACACACACACAAATACAGCATAATTATGAATTATGCACAGGAAATCGTGTTAACTCATAACACACCCATTATCATCCATTCAATTTCTTATAACATACTTTGTTTTCCGACTGTAACTTTACAGCACTTTGATTGTAGTTCCATTATTTAGTGCTATGCAAAAAGATTCAAAGCAGAATCTTGGTTTTAACATAACTCTGGCAACCAGCTCTGAAAATTGATGAGAGCCAGTTACCATGGTAACCCTAATTTACACCTGGGCTATCAGGTGAGCCAGAGCAACAACAGATGCACACACACACACACACACGCACACACAGCGACCAACATCTCCAGCCCTAATGGGCCTTTTAATGAGGTAGAAAAAAATAACACTAAGCCAAAGGCCAATAATAGCACACATGCTCTCTTACAAACACCTTGTTGAGTTCCTCTTGAGTGTTTAGACCTTCTAGAACTTTCTTGTACTTCCTCTTTTTGTACTTCCTGCGAATAAAGGATGCACGCTGCTCCAGTGACGGCTGCATGCAAAGCTCCTCCTCTGGGGGAAGATTTGCTTCCCAGAAGCTGTTGGAATTTTTATTTCCAACGTCTAAAACCAGCTAAAGAGAGGGACAGAACGTGAGGACAATGTATTTCACAAGAAAGTTAGATCACCCAGAAATGAAATCTCTGCCATCATACTCAACATCAGGTCATTCTACACCCAGATTTTTGTTCGAAAAACAAACTAAGGTATTTTTAATGAAACCTTTCCATCCCTTTATTTCCTCCATGGAATGGACTTTCAATGGAGGGACAGAAATCTCTCAGGTTTCATTAAAAATATCAATAACACTTTAAGTATAGGGACAAATTCTTACTGTTAACTAGTTGCTTATTAGCATGCCTATTATTAACATATTGGCTGTTTATTAGTACTTATAAAGCACATATTCTGCATGATCTCTAATCCTACCCAATACCTAAACTTAACATCTACCTTACTAACTATTAATAAGCAGCAACTTAGGAGTTTATTGAGGCAAAAGTCATAGTTAATGGCTTGTTAATGGCGAGAATTGGACCTAAAAATAAAGTGTGACCAAAATATCTTCCTTTGTTCTTAAGGCTTTGGAATGACATCAGGGTGAGTAACTATAAATCAACAGATTTTTCATTTTTGAGAGAACTATCCCTTTAAAATCAATATGTAAGAAGTGACTACCACAACAGATCGGTACCTCAATGAGCTCGTTGGTCCATATGCTGCTGTCTAGCTTCATACTGCGGACCTTTGAGATCCCAGGACCCAGGAATCGATGCTGACCTGGAAACAGATACTGATCTGAACTTTTCACATCTAAAACAGACAATGTTAATTTAATAGTCAAAACTTCCTGTTAACTAAAAGTGTCCTGCTTAACCTCAAAACTAAGTACAACTTCACACTAAATGGTATAAAGCAACGACTCGTATGACACACATACAGACAGAGTCACACTCATTATACATTTCATCGTATCCTTCCCAAGCACTCTTTTCTCCAGCCTGCCACAGCTATAATTGCAAATGAAAGGCACGAAAAAGCCATTAATTGCTAATGAATCATAAGTAATTAATTGTGTTTGTTGGTCTGCGCATTTATTTAGCTGAACTCCAGGCACTGTCGTAGTCGTTGTTTATGCGAGAAACAGATGAATTAAACATGGCAGGGAGAAACACATATTTGAATATGGAGTGTGTGATTTTCCGGCATAATTAGTAGCATTTTAGAGTACCAGTTTGCCATCAAAGATCATTAGAGCCGCCTGAGAGCCAACGGGACTAAAGATGCTCTGTGTACGTGTTAGTATGTATGCATTAAGGGCACTCGTTAAGGGTTTTTTAGTGCCATCGAAGAAAACTTCTAAGACAGGAAAGTACCTTAAACACAGCGTTTTTTTCAATGAAACCCTATTTAAAGCATCAAAAGAGAACAAAACCATCAGAAAGGTGGAGAAATTTCTCTTTGTTACCTTATTTGAAACTATTAAAAGAAAGGAAGAGTGAAAAATGGGCATAGCGGGAGTTTCTATGGTAACCGTAGCCTCACTTGAGGAATGTCTCCAATCACAGAGTTCGATTTAAAGAGCTTATTGCAATTACATGTGTAAAGAAACAGACAAACCCGAATATGTGTCACACAGCCAGGGATGTTGATTGATATCAAAGTGTGTTGGAAGATAAAAGACGGGGCAAAAAGAAACAGAAGTGAATGAGGGGGAAAAAAAGAAGTGGGAACGTTGGATAAGTATTATAAATGTGAAGACAGATTGTGAGAAAGAGAAAGTCACTTCACCCGTCTCTCTCTTTCACACGCTCTCTGTCTCCCACCGAAGACAATTTGCTCTCATTTAATCGTTAGCTGTTCGTTATATTCCCAGTATTTCGCTCTCGCTCTCCTAATTGTCGGCTGCAGAAGCGCAGCTAATTAAAGTGTCTGTGCCATAGATCCCATGAAGGCTGCGGTGCACATTTAGGGAAAGTGTCTCCCCATTCGATGGCTTATTCAGCAGCCATTTGCACAAGTTCAGCCACTGGTTCCTCCTGTATTGTGACCTAATGTAACATTACATGGCTGCGTAACTGAAATAATGAGTTAATTTATGGCGTCGGAGGGTGGTCACAATAATCTAAGCAACCACAATATCGGGAAAAAGAGCAAAGGAACTGTCTAAGGAGAGATGGAGTAAGATGGCTATGAAGAGCATTTAGTCTGTACCTGTAAAAGACAAATAATGAATAAATATAAATCTGTTTGTGCGTTGTTTTGTTACTCTCTATGATGTAACAACTGTTCCTTACCACACGTTTGTCTATTTTTCAGACTAGTTTATCTATCCACACTAAACTGCGGTGTAACGTGACACAATATTCTTCTCACAGCCAGTGAGAAGATATTTAATATGTCCAGTAACAATTTTGGGGTCAATAATTAATTTGTTGCTTGAAAGAAGTCTCTTATGATCAGCAAGGCTGCATTTATTTGATCAAAAATACAGCAAAAACAGAAGAATTATGAAGAAATATTATTATAAATTAAAATAGCTGTTTTCTATCATAATATATGTTAAACTGCAATTTATTACTGTGATGGTAAAGCTGAATTTTTAGCAGACTTTTCTCCAGTCTTCAGTGTCACATGACCCTTCAGAAATCATTCTAATACTCTACATTGGTGCTCGATATTTTTTTTTTACTTAAAGAAGTTCAAAAGGAAAATTCTGTTTGATTTTGATTCACTTAATTTGTCTTTGCTTAATAAAACTATTAATTTCTTTAAAAACAAAAATCCTACTGATCCTTTTCAACTGAAGACATAGGAACCAAGTAAACTTTTATTGCTTCGTGCTTTAGAGTGTGTGCTTAATACATTGTGTGTTTCATGTTCCATTCCTGTTGTGTTTGTTCTTGATCTGTTCTTTGTGTTCATAATTGTTTCTTACCAGCACAATTCTTGCAGATGACCACACACAGGTTGATGGAGGCCCATTCCGGCTCAGGAGCCTGACAATCAGCGCACTCCCTGTTGGATCTGTTGAACCAAACCTTCTCCAGCACCTCATAATTGCACAACGTCTCTACGATGGACTCCTGTACTGCTTCTATCCATTCCTCTCTCTCACGCTCAGAGTCCACTGTGAAACTGACAAAAATGATACAAAACTCTTACATACACTTTATCAGACTGATTATAGATTAAGTATTACAGTAGGTGATTTAAAAAAGGCAATCACTGGGCTCTTTAAAGCAGTACTGACTCTGATTGGCTGTCAATGTTTTTATCATTCATCAGCTGAATAAAATTGTTCTGAAAGTGATTCCAGCAATATTGCTCCTCTGTGCCATAATTGTTATAAAGTTTTGGTGTTGAAATTTAGAACGATTTTTTAAAAATATACCTTTATCGTTATAGTGATTGCCCTTGGTGTGAACAGGTCTGAAGGAGTGGTCACATTCCCTATTGTCTGGCGAATTGTCTGGGCAAAATCTAGTCATTTTTAAAGGAAATTACACAATCAGGAATTTCTTGTGAGGGTGAAAGATTGCCCCAAACAGATTTCACATTGGATTCAGTTGGTTATATGAATTTGCACAAATAGTATTGACCTTTTCTGAGACTTTTATGGTGCTTCTGTGTCCTTTTTGAAGCTTAAAAGCATTCATTGTCATTGCATGGAAAAGAGCGATTAACACATTTTTTTGAATGTCTTCTTTTGTCTTCCATGAAAGCATGAAAGCCCTATAGGTTTGGAATGGTATGAGGGTTAGTAAATGAATTACAGATCCACATTTTTGGGTAAACTATCCCTTTAAGTTGAAGTCCAAATCCGTTACTGTCAAATTTTAAGACAGGGCCTGAATCCCTTGCCATCAGCTCTCTAAGCACTGACTCAAATATGGGGAGTCGTTGTGTGTGCATAAACAAAATATGTTAAACATAAAACCCAAAGTTCTATTTGGCTAAGTTCACCCTGGCTTAAAACCCAACAGTTTGAGTCCCACTGGGCCCTGGTCAAGTACCAGACAAATAACAATGGTGAACACCACTTTTTAAATGTTCATTATTGCATTTTTGGCAGTGATGAGCCAGAGTGCAGCCCAAATGTAAAAACCAGTAATAGCTCTGAATCTGCTTTCCATTTCCATTATGACCCCCTCTGCGCACATTATTTTAAATGAGCACAGAGACCTTGATACGTAATTTCCGAGAAAAATTCCAATTATTTTGCCAACAACTAATACTATATAGTCGTCCGGCCTCATATCGCTCAGTGTTTAGAACGCAACTACAAACAGATCAATATTCTGTCCTGTCCACAAAAACAAAGCTAGGAGATAAAGAGGAAAAATCTTTAACAACGCGCACCAGCCAAACAAAGAGAGCGATAGCTTTTCATTGTTTGTTGTTGTTATTGTTGGGTCTTTTTTTTAGCGGGGGAACTGCATGAGCCATAAAAGGATCATTAAAAAACAAACACAAAAACATCTCATCGATTAGGCCTCCGCAAATGGCTGCTTTGTTGGAAACATCAGCTTGTGTGGGGTCACAGGTGAGCGATGCCTGTACTGTACAGCCGTTATAACAGAGCTGATATTTATAAAGAAAAAAAAGAACGAAAGAGGAAGAAAAAACAGATCAATAATGAGTGTGCTTCAGATGGATAGTATCAGAGTGGCAGGACAGTCATAATGAGAGAGTGGCTGCTAGAAAATAACACAGCAGGCAACAAACTCTGAAAAAAATGATACTAAAAAGGCTCAAAAAGAAGAAATCGACAGAGTTTCCTCTGCCATTAATAAATCTCACACTGTCCAGCTATGCAAGCACTCAGTTTCATTATAAACAGCCAAAAAAGATTCAACTATTTGACACTAATCTTTTTGCAAAGTTCAGCCGTTTAATCCATATTATATTTTGGTTGGTGCAATCACTTATACTAAGAGGTAAATCTCCTAAGTAGGAACGCCTTAATAAATGAACCAAGACAAAAAAGTTTCACTTCTCTTGAAATGTTACAAACTAGGTAGTGAATGTAATAGTAAGTAAATACGTTTTAGCTTACTGACTTCAGGTTTGGTTAAAACAATTCATGTACAATTCCAGATAGAGCTGTGAGAAAATTGAATGAATACTTGGCATTCTAGGAATCTGGAGTTTTGTAGGAATGGCTCAGAAAATGTTATTTTGTTGCAAACATACATTCACCAGCCCCTTTATTAGGTACACCTGTTCAACTGCTTGTTAATGCAAAAAAAATTATCAGCCAATTTCATGGAAGCAACTCAATGCATTTAGGCACATACACAGACTTGGCCCTATTTTTCTAAACTACAGTACGTTTGAGTTTCGATTCTTATCACACGATGTCTGCCAATTTAATGTACCAATTCGGACGGGATTAAACATCTCCGTGTTTATTACAGAGGTGGGAGGGTCTGTTTTGTACATCTGGGCTTTGCAGAGATTACGCACTCTATATGCGTGCATTGCATATAGTCATTCGGATTGATTATCATTAGTATAACCACATTTTTACTACAAATACTATGGTTAAGCTATGGCTAGTATAGCAAAACCATGGTTAATTTGTGGTTACTTTAGTTTAACTTTTTTTTTTTGTAGTAAAACCATGTTTAATTTTCGTAAAGGTATGTAATTAAAACATTATATAATTGAGTGCAGAAATGATGGTGAGTAATCTTACCTGACGCTGATATTAAAGTAGCCAGTCTTAACAGTTCACGTGATCTGGCTCTTGATTTTATTATTATAATTTCTTTTTTATTATTATTTCTTTGCCGGAAGGCAAACATATCAAAAATGTGCACGGTAAGAGTGTCTACGGTTATTCACGTTGGCCAAAACACACAAAGAAACGTGTTATGAAAAAAATATCGTCCGCAATCATGGACGGGATTAGTGTTCTCAGAGTTTGCCAAAAAACTGTAGGTAATTTGCTCTGGAATTATTACAGGGGTTGTGTGAGAAAAACAGACGTGGCAGATTCAGATGGGATTAAAATCGCAAAGTACGCCTTTGAAACACAAATTTCTCTAACGACCCCCTGTAAAACTAGTCCCATTCGAATAGGGCTATAGTCAAGACAATCTGCTGAAATTCAACCCGAGCATCAGAATGAGGAAGAAATGTAATTTAAGTGACTTTCAATGTGGCATGGCTGTTGGTGCCAGACGAGCTGTTCTGAATATTTCAGAAGCTGCTGATCTACTGGGAATTTCACGCACAACCATCTCTAGGGTTTACAGAGAATGGTCAGAAAAAGAGAGAATATCAAGTGAGCGGCAGTTCTGTGGGTGAAAATGCCTTTTTGATGCCAAAGGTCAGAGTATGACCAGACTGGTTTGAGCTGATAGAAGAGCAACAGTAACTCAAATAACCACTTGTTACAACCGAGGTATGCAGAAGAGCATCTCTGAATCCTCAACATATTGAACCTTGAAGCAGATGGAAGACCACACCGGGTGCTACTCCTTTAAGTTCAAACTGTTTTTTTTAACACAACAATGATATCACAATACAAAAGTAAACAATACATTAAATAAGTTGCTTTACCTGTAAAACACAGCTTCTGGTGACATTCCTTCACTAATGCTGCCATTTAACAATAGAACCAACATTAAACAACTAATAATTCATGTAAAAATGTAAATATCAGAAGCCGATCTACTGAATGCTTCTGAATGATGAATATTTAATTTTTTCCTCAATATTTTGACAATCTGCTGTAATTTTGGATGTTCATGAAGTCACTTGGAATTCACTGGTGCCTAAATAAGTTGCAGGCCCTGAGGCAGAAAAGCAGCTTCATAATATTATACACCCTCCAGCATAGTTTAACTTTCAAATAAGATTTTGGAGTAAATACAGCATTTTGTTTTCTACAAGCAACATATTTTATATTCTTTGTATGTTGTTTGAGGACTCTTCAGCATGTTCTTGAATTTAGGATTGTAAAATGCCTACCCCCAGGAAATGTAGAAATGGAGTTTCATCCAGGAGTAACCTGCCTGACTCTGGACTATGGGGGCCCAAAACATCCTTTCATAATTCTTCCCAGACGTATGTGCTTCAAGAACTCTTCTCCTAAGTTTCTCTGAAATCTCTTTTGATCCACTCACATTGCACTTGAATACAATGCAGTTGTGAAAAGCAGATCAGCAAAGTTTTTCAATGGCAGAATAGGTCAATCCCACACTGGAAAAGCAATCACATTCTTTTCAGAACTCACCAATCTTAGAGGTTTGCATATTATTTGTCAATTATTTTAAATTCTTACAATATGAATATGTTCCAAACAATAGTTAATTGTCTTGCTGTCTAATGTCTACATATGTTCTTAAATGAACCATATTTTTAGTGTGAAGAACATTTCAAAAATCTGAAGATCTTTTTTTTACACAATAAAGAACCAATGTGCAATGAAATGTTTCCATGGATGTTGAAGGTTCTTCATGGAACCATTTATGCCAATAAAGATTTTTAAGAGTGTTAGTAGCGCATTATCCTCAGGTGACTCTTTTGAAATGATTTATAAGCAGCACTAACACTCCATTAACACTCAGTCACACATCTCAAAAATAGTGCTCCTCAACAAAACACACACACACACACACACACACACACGGAACTTAACTAATGCTCACAGTTGATCCTAACATTATCACAGTACACACAAATTTGGAATGAAATGTCTATTATATTAGATGGTATTTTTATAGAGAAAGAACTGAATAAAATACTTTTATAATTAACATAACACTTGGCTAGAGGATAAAATACTCTATTTAAGTAGGTAAGTAGCACACTATGGTTTTAAGAAGTCTATATACTATATTATGCAAGCAACAATGCAATTTTTATTAGAAGTTAAATTCCCAAATAACTATTCAGCAAATGAAAGCATATGAAAAATGTTTATGTAATCAGAACCTGTATTTGAAATTTAGAGCATCTCTGAACTCTGAAGGCACTTGTGTAAATAAATCATTATTTGCACTAAGAAAACTTAATCCTCCAAGGCTGACCTTGAGTGAAGCTTTGATGATTTTTTAGCATAAAGTGATATTAAGGACGTCCAGGTAAGAAGCTTAACTCTGTTTGAAGGTCATCTGAAATCTCTTTAAAACAACATCTACCAGTCAATTTATGCTAATATTTTATTTTGATGATAAGAGATTTTCTTTTTTCTGGCCTTATGCTAATATACAGTAAATAATATTTTAGCAGTTTACCAGAAGGATTTGAAAGGTGTAGTGATCTCAAATCCTTTCCTCTCAACTTGTTTCACACACGCAGCCGTCAGGTCCACAACAGTGATGGCCAGCCCAGCATTAAAGTCCTGTGAAGAACCAGCATAAACATCAAAACACTCAATTTTTCATATCCAAGAAAATTCCAACATCAGGAACTAAAATAAAGAAATGAACACAGTAGAGTAAATAAAGCAGATCAGTGACTGCTATGTGAATGGACAAAAGCATTCACAGTCAGACATTATGTGTGTCTGTTTAGAACACTGTAGCTGTAGTGAATGAAGTGAATAAGGAAAACAAAGTCTAACTATAAAAATCGTACAAATGCAAGGACACTGTTGTGTGAGAAGGGTCAAAGGGAGCACAGAACAGACACTCAGCTCACTGGAGGGTGAATACCTGCTGATCCATTGATCAGAGTCTGAATGAATGACAAAGTTTATTTCACACAAGAACAAGCAGGAAACACACAACAAACTTTCTTTACAGACTTTACCAATTACTTCAAGGGCAATGGCAATATGAAAACCTCTCGGAGGAACAAGGGATGATTCTGGGAGGAAAGAATATGGGACAAGAAAAAAGTTAATTGTGTAATATTATGAAATGTTAGTCTAGTTTTCTTTGGTTTACAGGGGACCTGGGTGCCTTTTAAGTCAACCAAGCCAAACGGCATTTGAACTTGACAGCTGTGTGAAAAAGATCAGCATCTGACATTTTGATAATGACTCCTTTTGTGTTTTGAGTGTCATGAGGGCCAGTTTTTGAGTAAAAGCAAATGATGTGTGAAAGATAAACTCAACTGGACTGACCAAATATAGTTGTGAATATGTGATGTCTATCACAGCGTTTAAGACACACTCGCTTTTACATGCAAGAATCTAGAAAAGTGTATAATACATATATACTGTATATATATATATATATATATATATACTGTAAATATATACATATACAGATTAGTGCTGTCAAAATTAGCACAGGTGATTGATTTTTACAGTTTAACGGCGTTAAAAATATTTAAAGCAGTTAATGCAGGGTTGGGGCTAGGGTTGGCCATTTTAGATACATTTTAGAAAAAATGTGTGATTAATTAGTTAATTTTTTTTTTATCAATTTTTCAAAGCAAAGGCCCGTTTACACCAAGAACGACAACTGTAATGACAACTATATTATAGTGTCCACACTAACGATAACAGTGATAACAGTATTACACAAGCTGTAGTGTTGTCGCCTGCCACTTTAAATGCTCAAGCTCATTAAAGTTGTGTGGTTTCTTATTGACTGTCATAGATTTGATCATTTATCAGCTGGAAAAAAAAAGTCATTCTGAAAGTGATTCCAATGATATCATAATAGTTATGGTGTGAACTTTCCTATTCTTACAGAATTAGAACAACTGTTCATAATTTACAGTTATCATTACAGTTACCATCCTTAGCCTTAAGACCTGTCTTTTACTAAGAATTCAGAATATTTCTGAAAAATGTCTTATGGATGGAAATAATGAACTTCTGTTTAAATCATAAGTGCATTGAAAAGTGCATAAGCATTGAAATCTTTAAAGGGGTCATATGATGCGATTTCAAGTTTTCCTTTCTCTTTGGAGTGTTACAAGCTGATTGTGCATAGATAAGATCCCTGAAGTTGCAAAGACTAAAGTCTCAAAACCAAAGAGATATTCTTTATCAAAGTTAAGACTCGCAAAGAAAGAAGGCGTGGTTTCAGTAACCGCAGTTAGTGTTGAAGCAGCCATGTCAGGGAGACGCTGTGTGTTTCTAGGCGAAAGCAAAAGCACTTTATTTGGCCTTCCGAAAGTAGATGCATTTAGGAATCTTTAAGATTACTTACAACAGAACAGCAATGCATTTTATGGACGACCGTTTCATGAACCTAGGAGAAAAAGCACCATATGACCCCTTTAAGTATACTGTATCACCTCTGTTATATTAATTAAAAGGAAAACTCCTTCAGAGAGACTCAAAGGTATAGGTTCACATGCCTAATATAAAAAGACAGAGTTAGGTGTGAACAGGAGGTGTGAATACAGTTAAAGGTAAAAAAAGAGAGTGCGAAACCGATGCATTGATGAACTCATAACGGCAGTGAGTTCATGACCAGAGCAAGACAACATACTTATTTTACATGATAACTTTTTGTCTCTTCAACATTTCTTGCTTTTTATGCTGTCCGAAACATAAAAACAGCACCCAGTCTTTTATTTCAAAATAAAAGGCTCTGTTACAAGCCTAACGGAATGCCTTGCACATTACAGCAAAGGCAGCTGCCTTCCCATTAAGCATTGTAAATAAAATAAAACAACAAAAGCGATTTAAGTGACCATTTGGAATGTTCTACATAAACAGAAACTCTCACACAAACCATACAGAAAGTTTTATATTTTTTAATGGTACATTTAAATTCAATTGAACCAGTTTTCTCAATACTTTTATGTAGACACAACATATTTATTTTGTACGAGTATTGACAATATTTTGTCTTTGTTTGTGCTGGATTGTTTCATTTTTTTTTAATTCCCCTAAATTTATAGCAATAGAATTGCGTTCTTTTTCAAGCATACTTAGAATTTGGCCAAAATAAGGTATCTAAAACTTTTCACAGATCAAGTGGTTTGCATGCCGTGTTATAGGAGTTACATTTGCATTTTAGCAACCTGGATTTAAAAACGAAAAAAAAAAATGACTGACAGTTTGTTGGTCAATCCATTATGCGCATATGTGCTTCACTTTTTGTTTGTCCCGGTATACACATTCTGAATGTTGCATAGCCCTGATTTAAAAACAGCACAACAAAATGGAAAAAAAACAGGGGTCTTGAGACATTTTATCTCAAGATTGAACTAGTTTTAATTTGATATGGTATATTAAAACTGCAGCACATGCAGCCTACACTCCATTGCAGTGAAACTATCAAATTAAATGCAACTAAATGCATTTCTAATAAACATCTAATGACAAACCAAATAATTGTCCTTTTAGACATTAGCCATCAGAGACCCTTTGAAGTGGCCATGTGTTTGGTCTTTTTGTGTTCTTTGCTATGGAGCAAATAGTTTAAGTAAGGAAATCAAAAATCGATGCAGCACTAAACTGTAGTGGCGTCACGTGACTTGGGCTTGCCTGTTAGGTTGACTTTCATTACCTTGGGGAAACATCATGGCCTGACCTCAGAGGAGAGAAGGGCAGTACATTTCATCCTATCCAAGATGGGAAGGGAGGAAAAAAACAGCGTCCTGGGCAGCTCGTTCATCTTGTTAAATTAAATACTCCACTTCACTGAACATGAACCGAGCTACCCACCACCGCACCTTTTTCCTCTCTCTCCATCTTTATGCTCCTTTGTGTTTTCTTCATCCCTCAGCAGCCACTGCTGTCTTCACCTCCTTCTGTTATCCCTCCGTTCTTGTCTCTCTGCCCAGTTCCTCCTTCACTCCCTCTTTCTCTCATTCCATTTCTTTCCCCCATGCCCTCTTTTCCTCCATTCCCTCACATTTCTCTCACCACTTGTCGGCGTGATTGCCACGGAGAGGATTTAATGCAAAAACAATACAATCAATTTCCATTTTCACTGCTCTCTTTCTCTTTCCCTCTCCCGCATGCTAAATCGGCTGACGAAAAACAATTTCCTTGCAGAATGAAGACAAAGATGTTTGCTTGTGTTAATAAGGAAAATAATGAAAGACAAACAGAGATGATAAAGTGTGTGTGAGCGTGTGTGCCACCTATTCATACAGAATAACATTCTCAGCTTAATCTCGTTTAAAACTGAGACCGATTAGGCATAGATCACATACACATGCATGCGAAATGTCAGGGCTTGTGTGTGCATTGTAATAACTATACGCTCAGCATATGGGCTCATTCACATAGGAGGGAGCACAAAACAGATGTCACATACTTTAAAACATGAAGTGTGAAAGTTTGGGTTATTTCACTACCGTGAGAAAACAGTGTCCAACTATCTCCACACAAATAAAGGGTGTATAAGGAAAATAATACAAAAAGGTAAGTAATTAAACACAGTAATAAAGTTTAAATAGATATAGAGTTTACACAGAGACAGACAGACAAGAGATGTGAAGTCTGAAGGTACTGTAGACACAAACAGACATTAAAGACAGACAGACAGAATTATATAAAAAAACAAAGGGAGAATAAGAAAAAAATTTAAGTAATCAATTTACAGAGTAATAAAGTAATAGAGTTTGCAGATAGATAGATAGATAGATAGATAGACAGACAGACACACAGACAGATAGATAGATGGCTTAGCACAGTGAAGTTTAAAGGTAGATGGACGGATGGATGGACAATTATATATACAAAAACAAAGGAAGAAAAATTCTAATTAATTTACAGAGTAATAAAGTAATATCGTTTACAGAGAGATAGTCAAGAGCTAGATAGGCAGACAAACAGGCTGGTCGAAGCAATGGTTTAGCCACTGAGACTTACAGATACAAACAGACAGATAAAAGAGACAGACAGACAAGAAGTAGATAGATGGACATACAAGCTGGCCGAAGCAATGGCTTAGCACAGTGAAGTTTGATGGTGGACAGATAGACAGGTTGGGGGACCCTGAACATGGTTGTTGAGGTCTGGTACTTATTTTAAACTCATGCGGACAGCAGCAGTATGAATCCAGATCAACATTTAACAATGTCAAAAAGAACCAATATTAAAAAAAAAAAAATGCATATACTATAGATCTACCTGGTCTGTTTTACAGAGTCTAAAGCTGGTTCCCATGAGGCTGAGGTAGACTCTTCCTTTGAGGCCACGCAGCTCGACGTAGCCACTCTTGTTTGTGTTATTTTTGTGAGGCTGATGGGAAATGGAGGGCTGGGAGCTCACAGCAGACTGGAGAACCTCTAGCCAATCCTGACGTTCTCCTTAGAGGGAAGACAAAAGATGGAGGGAGGTAAGAAGCAGAAGTGTGTGTGTGTGTGTGTGTGTGTGTGTGTGTGTGTGTGTGTGTGTGTGTGTGTGTGTGTGTGTGT